AACTGAACACTATAGATGTTTGTGCAGAGGCCTGGACGCAGTCTCTTCCGACTGTTGTGCAAGTTTACCACAAGATCCGAGAAACTCTTCCAGAGTCAGAGCTCTTGAGCAAATATCCTGGCTGGCTCAGCCTCCAAGCAAAACATCTTGTCCGCATCCCCTGAGTCTGACCGGGCAATACCCCAAAGACGTAGTCTTTGCCATTCAGCCTCCCGGGGCTTCTACAGCTTTCTCGACTACATCTAATGCTGAGGGTTCTTCAACGGCATCAGGCATGACTTCCTCTACCTTGGAAGACTCTACTGCTACGACGGCTCCTTCAACGACGTCAGGCATGGCCACTCCGCCTTCAACGACGTCAGGCGTGGCCACTCCGATTGGTGTCGGTGCGCAAGAGGCGAACGAAGCCCTTCCCAGCGGCGCTCCCTTGGCTTTCTGGGCGGTTGCTTATGGTTTGCTTGCCTACTCGTGAAGTCTTCGTGAGGTCATATGCAGCCACATGCTTCAGTGACGGAATCGACAGCAAAGCGCTGCAGGTCTGAGGCATCTCTCATGCTGTACAGGATACTTGCTTAACGATTGGAGGCGGCGAAATGGCGCCTTAATGTGACAAAGCACCTCCAATCGCCTGCTGGTGAATAGCACCTAGAGCCTGGAGTGCCATCCAGGACTTTGCCAACTAAAAAGATTCCATTCAAGACTTCAGACTTCCTGGCCAAGGGTAAAGTGCTGGCGAGCCTGAGATTTCCTACGTTGTACAGTATGCTTGCTCAACGATCGGAGGCGGCGAAATGGCGCCTTAATGTGACAAAGCACCTCCGTCGCCTGCCTATGAATATTGCATCGAATGCAGCCAAGACTTTGCTTGGAGAAAACGAGCGTATTCAGCAGCTTGCTTGTTTTGCAACATGGTCTTAAGGCCACGCAAGCGTCTTCTTGCAATATTTTGCTGCCTGCGGTTCCCAGCTTTCCCCCAAGCAGCTCGCGGCTACCGATTTTCTGACGCAGGCCGGTGTTTGCTGGATTCATATAGAATGGCTGCAGTAAACTTGTTGTTAACTGCGTCTAAGCTCCTTGTTCTAGTGACGGTGAGAGGTTCAGAAGTGCGTGGGTGCACGTATGAGTGCTATGCACGCGCTGGGGCGGCGGCCTCGGGCAATGTCGGGCAATGTCGGTTAATTCCAACCCAACAGAAGTGTGCAGCTTTGAGGTGGAGGCTCAGCATGTGCTATCCTATCATCGTGGCAGCGCTTCTGGGAATTACTGCTGGGCAGGCAGGTGTGAAGAATCTTCGCCGCGTGTTTTCATTGATGTCTTCTTTGCAGGAGGCGGAGCTGAACCTCCCACATGAGCTCGGCCGCTTTCTGTGTGCAACCTGCAGAAGTTGAAAAGTTTTAGAGATTTGCTATGTCCGCAGCTTGCCAAGGTGGAACCGGGTTTTCACACACAGCGAGGCGCGCGTCATCAAGTAAGGCACGAGGGCCGTCTGAAAGAATCAGACGCAGGTAGGTTAAGCGTGCTTAAGATTGTTAGGTTGTTGGTCTAAGCCAGTTCAGCGTCGCGTCGAAGCAAACTGCAGATATGTAGAAGTTGTAAGGGTGAGAATGAGTGGATATGAGTGGTGGAGCTTACCAGCTGCAAAAGGAATGCCGTGCCACTGCTAACCGCAGCAGCCAAGCTTGAGAGATAAGCAGTGGCCATTCTGTACTCGTGATACGAACTCCTGTTGACCTGCCGTTGTCGATGTTGTGCCTTCAGGCAATCGCTGCCGCGACGCTCGAACTCACTGGCACATGCACGTGGAAAAACCTCAATGGTTTTTGGTATGCAGCCGGCCAGACCGCTTCTGGACACGTCTACTTCCAAAAGGAAGGCGTTGAGAGATCTTGGTGGTCGACGTGGTCTAGCAGATATGTTAACTCGGTGACACATTTAGTCTTGTACTATGATCCAGAATGCTCTAGTCTGCGTCCGTCCCGTTGGATCATCGCCGAGATGTCCGACTTTGATTACTCTGCTACGTCGAACCTGGGCGGTAGCTGCCATTCGTATTCTCCAGAGATCTCCTCAAGCGTCTCTTCAGAGTTTCCGACGTCCGGTGAGTGGAATATGGTATTTGGATATTGCAGTTCAAGCTCGGTGGACAGAATTCTGAACTTCAAGCTCCAAAAGCCACGGCTGGTTGAAGGCTCTGATTTGGCTGGTCATCTAGAAATATACTTTGAAGGCTCTTGGGCAGCAGTTTGCGCCAATGGTTGGGATGATGTTGACGCGCAAGTTGTCTGCGATGAGTTGGGTCTTCAAGGTGGTTCTGCCAGCCGTATTTCCAACGCTAGAAATGCAACATCAGTTCTAGATGAGGTGACTTGCAATGGAGATGAGGTTGGTCTTGGTCTTTGTGCTGGTCGGGTGGGATTGCAATCTTGCACAGAGCTTGCTGCAGTTGAGTGCGAGGCCAGATTTGAAGAACTGTCGGAGTGTGCTTATTGGTTGCTTTAGATAGGTTTTGGGTGTATCGTGTTGTCTTGTCGTGAGCCTGGGCAGGAGATTCCTATACGACTGGTTGAGGGCAGCAGCCTGGAAGGCGCAGTGGAAATAAGCTACAACGGTACCTGGTCGGGTATCTGCTCGCAAGGTTGGGATGATGTGGACGCTGCAGTTGCTTGTCGTCATCTGGGGCTGGTTGGTGGTACTGCCTTCAGCGTGCGAAGAGCGAACGCCTCCGCTCGGATGACTCATGTGCGTTGCGGAGGCGTTGAGGCGAGATTGACAGCTTGTCAAAGTGTTGGACCTCCTCAAGAATGCTTGGATGAGGACTTTGCTGCAGTCCGCTGCTTGCCCACTAGCACGACGAGCACTGCTACGATGACAAGTACCACGACGAGCACTGCTACGATGACAAGTACCACATCGACAGGAAGATTCCAGTGCGAGCCTCCGAGCTTGTTTGGAAGTGAACTGCCAGAACGCGTGGCTTTCCACCCCGAAAAAAACTTCGCCTTTTGTCGCGAGATATTCACTGGTTCTTCAGGGCAGTCCGTGTATGACGCTTGCATGGATTTCTGCAATCCTGCTGGTGATGCTGCCAAGCTTGCTTTGCAGGTTGGCGTCAGTCCACGTGGTCTGCATCTGGACCAAGCCAAGGATATCTGCACAAGCGAGATCTTCTTGTATAATTCAAGCTTGGCCGAACTCTGCGACGAGCGACGCAATGCCCTGAACATCATTGAAGACAAGGCAGTTGATTTACTTGGTCAGACCTATGTTTTCAAGGCAGAGCAACGGGTGTTCAAGGCGAGTATTGCAAAGGCCTCAGCTGACTTGCAAGAGTATCTCCGGGGTGAGGACTTCAGACGAGCGATGGATGATGCCAATGGTCCTCAGAAGGCTAATGTCATGGTTGAGAAAGTCCAGGAGAAAGTAAGTCTGCTGACAGGTTCTTCGGATGAGCTGCGTGAGTCACTGATCAAGTTAACAACTAGTTCTGACAACCTTGTGGCAGTGGTCGATCAGCAGCTGAGCATGTTCGAAGAGTTCGTGGAGAAATGTGGGGGTGAATTACTGGCGTTCAAGAATTCCGCTGATGAGGTCATCATGGATATTTGTCACCAGACCGGAAGAAGTTGCTTCGAAACCACGGGCTCTCGCCACATAGGCTGTTGTTGCGGCTTCAACCCAATCCTGGATGCGGATGATGGTCGCTCAAGTTTGTGTAGCCAAGCCAAAGCGCAAACAGAGGATCAGGTCCAAGAGGCCGAAAATCGACTGAGCCAGCTCGGAGCCAGCGCAAGCTTGCAACTGGGAGCTTCATATGCTGAGTATGAAAGGGTGTGTCGTGGCCGTCGCCTCCAACGCGAAGATGCGCCTGACGAATTTCCAAGAGTTATTGGTGTTAGGCAGCTTCAAGATGAGAAATGCCAACGTCTTCCCAATTGGGACTTTGCCAACACTGCTTGGAGTTTGTGCGAACCCAGAGGGGATGATAGACGTGAAGCCAGGATGCAGAGCATGCAAGATGCATGTAGAGACTTCTGCGAGGGCTCGACCAATGCAGTGCCACTTCTGATGGGGACGCCAGAGTTCGGCTTTAATGCCACCGCTATGGAACACATTGCCGCAAGCGTTTTCATCAAGAACGATGCTCGCGTCCAAGAATGTCACGTGTGGTCGCAAGCCTTCAAGGATGTTGAGCAAACCCTCGCCAGGTTTATGGCTGCCTTGGATATCTTCAACGTAGCCAAGATGTGGTATACCATTCGATTTCAGGCCACTTCCAAGGAAGTGCAGGAGCTGGTGTCTTCGGCTGCTTTTGAAGCAAACATATCTAGTCAAGGCTTCGCAGCCTACAACAACATCAAGAAGCTCACCCAGACTGGGTCTGCGAAGGATATCCAGGATCAATTGTTGAACGCCATCAATGGAGTACGTGTTGAAGCGTCAGCCTTGCAAAAGATGCTTTCTAGTAGCTCCGAGCTGATGCAGCGCTTCCTCGCAGAGTGCAATGGAGTGTTTCTTGGCCAAGGATCTAATGGGGAGCGATATTTGGACATATGCCGCCAATTCTTGGACCTCTGTGTGGAGGAAGAGGAAGCCTCGCACGTAGGCTGCTCTTGCGGCTACCACCCCTTCGCCACATTCGGCAATCCGCCTGATTTCAGTATTGGAGGAGCAAGTGATGAACTGAACACTATAGATGTTTGTGCAGAGGCCTGGACGCAGTCTCTTCCGACTGTTGTGCAAGTTTACCACAAGATCCGAGAAACTCTTCCAGAGTCAGAGCTCTTGAGCAAATATCCTGAGCTGGCTCAGCCTCCAAGCAAAACATCTTGTCCGCATCCCCTGAGTCTGACCGGGCAATACCCCAAAGACGCAGTCTTTGCCATTCAGCCTCCCGGGGCTTCTGCTGAGGGTTCTTCAACGGCATCAGGCATGACTACCTCTACCTTGGAAGACTCTACTGCTACGACGGCTCCTTCAACGACGTCAGGCATGGCCACTCCGCCTTCAACGACGTCAGGCGTGGCCACTCCGATTGGTGTCGGTGCGCAAGAGGCGAACGAAGCCCTTCCCAGCGGCGCTCCCTTGGCTTTCTGGGCGGTTGCTTATGGTTTGCTTGCCTACTCGTGAAGTCTTCGTGAGGTCATATGCAGCCACATGCTTCAGTGACGGAATCGACAGCAAAGCGCTGCAGGTCTGAGGCATCTCTCATGCTGTACAGGATACTTGCTTAACGATTGGAGGCGGCGAAATGGCGCCTTAATGTGACAAAGCACCTCCAATCGCCTGCTGGTGAATAGCACCTAGAGCCTGGAGTGCCATCCAGGACTTTGCCAACTAAAAAGATTCCATTCAAGACTTCAGACTTCCTGGCCAAGGGTAAAGTGCTGGCGAGCCTGAGATTTCCTACGTTGTACAGTATGCTTGCTCAACGATCGGAGGCGGCGAAATGGCGCCTTAATGTGACAAAGCACCTCCGTCGCCTGCCTATGAATATTGCATCGAATGCAGCCAAGACTTTGCTTGGAGAAAACGAGCGTATTCAGCAGCTTGCTTGTTTTGCAACATGGTCTTAAGGCCACGCAAGCGTCTTCTTGCAATATTTTGCTGCCTGCGGTTCCCAGCTTTCCCCCAAGCAACTCGCGGCTACCGATTTTCTGACGCAGGCCGGTGTTTGCTGGATTCATATAGAATGGCTGCAGTAAACTTGTTGTTAACTGCGTCTAAGCTCCTTGTTCTAGTGACGGTGAGAGGTTCAGAAGCGCGGGCTAGGCTCTGGGTGCACGTATGAGTGCTATGCACGCGCTGGGGCGGCGGCCTCGGGCAATGTCGGTTAATTCCAACCCAACAGAAGTGTGCAGCTTTGAGGTGGAGGCTCAGCATGTGCTATCCTATCATCGTGGCAGCGCTTCTGGGAATTACTGCTGGGCAGGCAGGTGTGAAGAATCTTCGCCGCGTGTTTTCATTGATGTCTTCTTTGCAGGAGGCGGAGCTGAACCTCCCACATGAGCTCGGCCGCTTTCTGAGTGCAACCTGCAGAAGTTGAAAAGTTTTAGAGATTTGCTATGTCCGCAGCTTGCCAAGGTGGAACCGGGTTTTCACACACAGCGAGGCGCGCGTCATCAAGTAAGGCACGAGGGCCGTCTGAAAGAATCAGACGCAGGTAGGTTAAGCGTGCTTAAGATTGTTAGGTTGTTGGTCTAAGCCAGTTCAGCGTCGCGTCGAAGCAAACTGCAGATATGTAGAAGTTGTAAGGGTGAGAATGAGTGGATATGAGTGGTGGAGCTTACCAGCTGCAAAAGGAATGCCGTGCCACTGCTAACCGCAGCAGCCAAGCTTGAGAGATAAGCAGTGGCCATTCTGTACTCGTGATACGAACTCCTGTTGACCTGCCGTTGTCGATGTTGTGCCTTCAGGCAATCGCTGCCGCGACGCTCGAACTCACTGGCACATGCACGTGGAAAAACCTCAATGGTTTTTGGTATGCAGCCGGCCAGACCGCTTCTGGACACGTCTACTTCCAAAAGGAAGGCGTTGAGAGATCTTGGTGGTCGACGTGGTCTAGCAGATATGTTAACTCGGTGACACATTTAGTCTTGTACTATGATCCAGAATGCTCTAGTCTGCGTCCGTCCCGTTGGATCATCGCCGAGATGTCCGACTTTGATTACTCTGCTACGTCGAACCTGGGCGGTAGCTGCCATTCGTATTCTCCAGAGATCTCCTCAAGCGTCTCTTCAGAGTTTCCGACGTCCGGTGAGTGGAATATGGTATTTGGATATTGCAGTTCAAGGTCGGTGGACAGAATTCTGAACTTCAAGCTCCAAAAGCCACGGCTGGTTGAAGGCTCTGATTTGGCTGGTCATCTAGAAATATACTTTGAAGGCTCTTGGGCAGCAGTTTGCGCCAATGGTTGGGATGATGTTGACGCGCAAGTTGTCTGCGATGAGTTGGGTCTTCAAGGTGGTTCTGCCAGCCGTATTTCCAACGCTAGAAATGCAACATCAGTTCTAGATGAGGTGACTTGCAATGGAGATGAGGTTGGTCTTGGTCTTTGTGCTGGTCGGGTGGGATTGCAATCTTGCACAGAGCTTGCTGCAGTTGAGTGCGAGGCCAGATTTGAAGAACTGTCGGAGTGTGCTTATTGGTTGCTTTAGATAGGTTTTGGGTGTATCGTGTTGTCTTGTCGTGAGCCTGGGCAGGAGATTCCTATACGACTGGTTGAGGGCAGCAGCCTGGAAGGCGCAGTGGAAATAAGCTACAACGGTACCTGGTCGGGTATCTGCTCGCAAGGTTGGGATGATGTGGACGCTGCAGTTGCTTGTCGTCATCTGGGGCTGGTTGGTGGTACTGCCTTCAGCGTGCGAAGAGCGAACGCCTCCGCTCGGATGACTCATGTGCGTTGCGGAGGCGTTGAGGCGAGATTGACAGCTTGTCAAAGTGTTGGACCTCCTCAAGAATGCTTGGATGAGGACTTTGCTGCAGTCCGCTGCTTGCCCACTAGCACGACGAGCACTGCTACGATGACAAGTACCACGACGAGCACTGCTACGATGACAAGTACCACATCGACAGGAAGATTCCAGTGCGAGCCTCCGAGCTTGTTTGGAAGTGAACTGCCAGAACGCGTGGCTTTCCACCCCGAAAAAAACTTCGCCTTTTGTCGCGAGATATTCACTGGTTCTTCAGGGCAGTCCGTGTATGACGCTTGCATGGATTTCTGCAATCCTGCTGGTGATGCTGCCAAGCTTGCTTTGCAGGTTGGCGTCAGTCCACGTGGTCTGCATCTGGACCAAGCCAAGGATATCTGCACAAGCGAGATCTTCTTGTATAATTCAAGCTTGGCCGAACTCTGCGACGAGCGACGCAATGCCCTGAACATCATTGAAGACAAGGCAGTTGATTTACTTGGTCAGACCTATGTTTTCAAGGCAGAGCAACGGGTGTTCAAGGCGAGTATTGCAAAGGCCTCAGCTGACTTGCAAGAGTATCTCCGGGGTGAGGACTTCAGACGAGCGATGGATGATGCCAATGGTCCTCAGAAGGCTAATGTCATGGTTGAGAAAGTCCAGGAGAAAGTAAGTCTGCTGACAGGTTCTTCGGATGAGCTGCGTGAGTCACTGATCAAGTTAACAACTAGTTCTGACAACCTTGTGGCAGTGGTCGATCAGCAGCTGAGCATGTTCGAAGAGTTCGTGGAGAAATGTGGGGGTGAATTACTGGCGTTCAAGAATTCCGCTGATGAGGTCATCATGGATATTTGTCACCAGACCGGAAGAAGTTGCTTCGAAACCACGGGCTCTCGCCACATAGGCTGTTGTTGCGGCTTCAACCCAATCCTGGATGCGGATGATGGTCGCTCAAGTTTGTGTAGCCAAGCCAAAGCGCAAACAGAGGATCAGGTCCAAGAGGCCGAAAATCGACTGAGCCAGCTCGGAGCCAGCGCAAGCTTGCAACTGGGAGCTTCATATGCTGAGTATGAAAGGGTGTGTCGTGGCCGTCGCCTCCAACGCGAAGATGCGCCTGACGAATTTCCAAGAGTTATTGGTGTTAGGCAGCTTCAAGATGAGAAATGCCAACGTCTTCCCAATTGGGACTTTGCCAACACTGCTTGGAGTTTGTGCGAACCCAGAGGGGATGATAGACGTGAAGCCAGGATGCAGAGCATGCAAGATGCATGTAGAGACTTCTGCGAGGGCTCGACCAATGCAGTGCCACTTCTGATGGGGACGCCAGAGTTCGGCTTTAATGCCACCGCTATGGAACACATTGCCGCAAGCGTTTTCATCAAGAACGATGCTCGCGTCCACGAATGTCACGTGTGGTCGCAAGCCTTCAAGGATGTTGAGCAAACCCTCGCCAGGTTTATGGCTGCCTTGGATATCTTCAACGTAGCCAAGATGTGGTATACCATTCGATTTCAGGCCACTTCCAAGGAAGTGCAGGAGCTGGTGTCTTCGGCTGCTTTTGAAGCAAACATATCTAGTCAAGGCTTCGCAGCCTACAACAACATCAAGAAGCTCACCCAGACTGGGTCTGCGAAGGATATCCAGGATCAATTGTTGAACGCCATCAATGGAGTACGTGTTGAAGCGTCAGCCTTGCAAAAGATGCTTTCTAGTAGCTCCGAGCTGATGCAGCGCTTCCTCGCAGAGTGCAATGGAGTGTTTCTTGGCCAAGGATCTAATGGGGAGCGATATTTGGACATATGCCGCCAATTCTTGGACCTCTGTGTGGAGGAAGAGGAAGCCTCGCACGTAGGCTGCTCTTGCGGCTACCACCCCTTCGCCACATTCGGCAATCCGCCTGATTTCAGTATTGGAGGAGCAAGTGATGAACTGAACACTATAGATGTTTGTGCAGAGGCCTGGACGCAGTCTCTTCCGACTGTTGTGCAAGTTTACCACAAGATCCGAGAAACTCTTCCAGAGTCAGAGCTCTTGAGCAAATATCCTGAGCTGGCTCAGCCTCCAAGCAAAACATCTTGTCCGCATCCCCTGAGTCTGACCGGGCAATACCCCAAAGACGCAGTCTTTGCCATTCAGCCTCCCGGGGCTTCTACAGCTTTCTCGACTACATCTAATGCTGAGGGTTCTTCAACGGCATCAGGCATGACTACCTCTACCTTGAAGGAAGACTCTACTGCTACGACGCCTTCAACGACGTCAGGCATGGCCACTACGATTGGTGTCGGTGCGCAGGAGGCGAACGAAGCCATTCCCAGCGGCGCTCCCTTGGCTTTCTGGGCGGTTGCTTATGGTTTGCTTGCCTACTCGTGAAGTCTTCATGAGGTCATATGCAGCCACATGCTTCAGTGACGGAATCGACAGCAAAGCGCTGCAGATCTGAGGCATCTCTCATGCTGTACAGGATACTTGCTTAACGATTGGAGGCGGCGAAATGGCGCCTTAATGTGACAAAGCACCTCCAATCGCCTGCTGGTGAATAGCACCTAGAGCCTGGAGTGCTATCCAGGACTTTGCCAACTAAAAAGATTCCATTCAAGACTTCAGACTTCCTGGTCAAGGGTAAAGTGCTGGCGAACCTGAGATTTCCTACGTTGTACAGTATGCTTGCTCAACGATCGGAGGCGGCGAAATGGATGCAGCCAAGACTTTGCTTGGAGAAAACGAGCGTATTCAGCAGCTTGCTTGTTTTGCAACATGTGGTCTTAAGGCCACGCAAGCGTCTTCTTGCAATATTTTGCTGCCTGCGGTTCCCAGCTTTCCCCCAAACAACTCGCGGCTACCGATTTTCTGACGCAGGCCGGTGTTTGCTGGATTCATATAGAATGGCTGCAGTAAACTTGTTGTTAACTGCGTCTAAGCTCCTTGTTCTAGTGACGGTGAGAGGTTCAGAAGTGCGGACTAGGCTCTGGGTGCACGCATGAGTGCTATGCACGCGCTGGGGCGGCGGCCTCGGGCAATGTCGGGCAATGTCGGTTAATTCCAACCCAACAGAAGTGTGCAGCTTTGAGGCGGAGGCTCAGCATGTGCTATCCTATCATCGTGGCAGCGCTTCTGGGAATTACTGCTGGGCAGGCAGGTGTGAAGAATCTTCGCCGCGCTCCCTCCCTCCTGCCTCCCTTCCCCCCCCCTAACTTTCAGGGAAGGCCATGCTGCTCCCTCTCTTCTGTCTCGCCAGACCTGCTCTCCTTTACGGCGGCTCCCCTTCCGGTTCCGCCGGTTCCCTCTCCTACCCCGCCGGTCCACGTAGGCCTCCTCTTTGGGTTTAAGCTCCGCCTCGCCTGTTGACTTCATGTTTAGAGTCGGTAGTCCGCTTCTCTCGGCGCGTACTCTGGTTTGCCCCTGTCTTTTTGCCCTGCCCCTCAGACCGCAAAGCCTCAACGGAAGCGAGCAAAGGAGGCGCACTGAACACGGCTTGCAGGCACAGGCGATGCGCAAGATCAGCCACGCGTGTGGACAACTGCACCACAACACGAACAAGAGTGCGAAACTGCCGACGCAGGTAAATGTGGTTGTTCTCCAGGCGACTAACGGAGCTGATGGAGCTAGACTCTGCACTGGACAAGACCTCTGGAACCTGTTCGGGCGCCTCCATCTGCTGGCCCCCCACGGGAGCCAGCGTGCACGGACCCTAGCGGTCAACGTCAGGTGGGATTTACAAGGACCTGTTGGGGCACAAAGATCCCGGTTCACAGGAGAAAATTTTTTGCCTCACTTCTCTGTGCTAAGGGTCCCATGCAGCTTACCATGCTTCAGCAAGAGCAGGATGTTCCCGAAGCTGAGTCCCCTGATGCTCCTCTTAACAAGAAGTTACGCTTGACCCAGGTGCATGATAAGATGTTTAGGAGGACTTCTGGCATATCTCAGCCTTGGGCAGTGATTGTCGACGAGGACGGAATCTTGCGGTCAATAAGTGGTTTTCTGTGGTGGTCCTCGAGCCACTCTGCTTCACCGTTGCCAGGGCTTTCTTTCAGTCCAAGACTTTGGGTTTCAAGACTGGTCCCTTGTCACAGTGCATTGCTGATGCGTTGTCCATAAAGGCCACTAGTACCTTGCACACCAGGGCCAATCACTTTCTGCGTTTCTTATCGTGGACGAAGAAAAAGGGTGTTGTGGCCCTCCCGCTGAGTGAGGCATGTGTGTACTGCTACTTCCAGGAGCACCAGGCCACCGCGGCACCGACTGCTCTCAGGAGCTTTCTTTCAACGCTTGCCTTTGCCAAGTTTACCTTGGGATTGTGTGGGGCTGATGAGGTTTTGTGCTCTGTACGCGTGAAGGGCCTTGCTGCAAAGAGGTACATGGATAAAAGGCCACTCACGCAGAGAGATCCATTAAGCGTTGAGCAAGTGCAACGTCTGGAAGAGATCCTGATGGATAATCTGCGTGCCATGATTGACCGGATAGCTTCCGGTTACTTCCTCTTCCTCATTTATGGAAGAGCGAGGTACAGCGACGGCCAGCGTGTCAGGAGCTTGAGTCTTGTGCATGGAGGTAGGTTCCTCGAGGCCACCGTCTACAGGTCCAAGTCTTCCGTTAGCGTGGAACGCAAAACACGCTTGTTGCCTGTCGCTGCTCCCATAGTAGGAATCACCGGCAGTGACTGGGGTTCCATTTGGTTTCTCTTTTGCAGAGTGAGGGGCTCTTGGGAGTTCCACAGGGTCCGCTTTTGCCCGCGCCTAGGAGTCAGGGTCGTTGGAGTGATCGTCCTCTGGCATGCGACCAGGCCAACAACTGGCTGAAGGCATTGTTGAGTCTTGATGCGAGCGTCAACGTTGGTACTCATTCATGCAAAAGAACTCCTTTGAGCTGGTGTGCCAAAAGAGGAGTGAAGCGTGATGTGAGATGCATCCTAGGATATCATGTGTCGACTTCTGCAGGCATTGGTACCGAAGTTCTCTACGAGGCTGATTCCCAAGCGGCTCCGTTGCGTACCTTTTGCGCTGTTTTGAAGGAGATTTCTGATGGCACCTTTAGGCCTGATCGTCCGCGTGGTGAACAGCTGTTGCGGAATGGTCAGCCAGTTGCTCTTACGGAGGATCGGAACAATGATTGTGGCGATGAAGACGCTGTGTCCACGTCGGAAGACAGTGAGGACGAAGAAAGTGTGGATCGGCCTGGTGAGGAGGCCGTCATCGCAGAAGCACTCGGTCAGTGGGAAGGGCGAGTGGATCTAGGCAAGATCCCAGAAGGTGCACAGTTCTTCCGAAACGCCGCTTCCCGGGTGATTCACTTCGTCGCAGACGAGGCAGGCGCGAACTTCATGTGTGGCAGAGGGATCACCCCTGTGTATGAACGGCAAACAGCCCAGCTTGCAATTTTGCACCCGAGATGCAAGCAGTGTTTCCGACATGTCATCGTATGAGATACGTACACGCAGTGTTTTCAGGCATGTCATCGCGCGAGATGAGCAAAAAGTGTCAACCTGCTGACCTTTGTCGAAGCTGTTAAGACATGATGCGCGCGCGCGCGCATCATAGATCTGTGCACGCTGCGAGGTGCGTCAGATACGTTTTCTTGATCTTACACTGAACATGCGTGTGCTGTAATGCTGTCTTACATGCATGTGTTGCATGCACTTCTGCATTGCTTGAGTGAGCAGAAACCATGTCTGTACATTTTTTTTGTGATTGCCTTATACGGATCAGTCTTTTCCTGTAGGAGCGGCTGCCGGATTCTCGCTGTCTAAGACAGGGCTGCCAGCCATGGCTTCGTTTTCGGAGAGCGCTCCAGTGTTTGAAGCCAGGTGTTTGAAAGTTGGGATGGCTCAGGCTGAGATTGACAAGCTTAAAGCTCAGGGGCTGACGACACTTGCAAAGGTGGCATTTTGCTGCTCGTACACGCCTGGCTCTGAGGATGATCAAGAGTTAATCAAGGCCTTGGATGCTGCGTTGGGAGCTCCTAGCTCGTTGGGTCAGCGCAGTGCATTTCGCAGGCTTTTTCACGAGAGTTTCGCCATCACAACTGCAGAGATGAAGACTTTGGTGGAACAGACCGAAGAGTCTGCTCCGCGCAAGTTGAGTGTTCCAGAGCGTGCAGAACGTTTCAACACCATCTCCAAAAGGCTCCCCGGACTCTCTATCCGGAATCGTCTGGAGCCCAGTGACAGCATGATCGACAAGTTCGTTTCTTTGTATGAGCAGAATCGCTTGCAGTTCGTGGCCTGGGACAGAATGACGAGTAGGGAACAGGAGATGGTGGTGGGGTCGCAGCGTGAGACAGTCCTTTCAGTCGACTCTTCAGGCAAGCTGAAGACTGAAAAGGGCGACCCTGCCAGGGCTGAGACGTCCTCCGAGCTTCTGATCCAGTTTGCACTCACACATCGCCATGGAAATGGCAAACCTGCTTGACTTCAACTGCCATGAGAAGTGGGTCGAACGTCTCCTCAGCGCCAGGCTGGACACTGTGCCGTCGACCCATGTGCAGCCGACATTCAGTCAGTTGCAACAAGCAGACCGAAAGCTGTTTCAAGTGCTTGCGGAGAAGACCCGAAGCGGTGTGCAGATCACCTCTGCAGGGCGGCCGCTTGATGCCGTGTTTGAGGGCGCTTGGCAGTCTCCTGAGGTCCTGCATCTTCTGCAGCCAATGCCAAAAGCAGTGGGTGGTACCCCACAAGGTGTGCCGCCTCCACCAGAAGGTGCAGCGGAGAGGCCACCGAAGATCCGTCGTACCGGGAGCAAGGGTGGCAAAGGTCCTGGGCGTGGGAAGAGCGGCCAGGGCAAAGGCTCCTGGAGGGTTCCAAGTGCCCTCGTAGGGACCCGATCCCACACTAATGCAGGTGAGCCAATCTGCTTTGGCTTTGGTTTGCGGACATGCAGAAACACGGTGTCCAAGGGCCGCTGTGAGAAGGGGCTCCACATTTGTGGATGGCCCCGATGTGGTAAATCCCATCCAGCCCTCGATTGTCCTCTGGCCAAGAGTCAGCAAAACGAGACCAGCTCGTGACTGGCCAAGGGGCCTGAGGTTGGGTTTGCCTCTCAGGCAATACCTGGTTCATGTGCGTCTCACGCACGTGATGAGGCTGAGCTGCCTCCTCGGGCCCACGAGGGTATCAGTAGAGCCGAGCAACACGTCGTTGCTGGCGGCGAGGCACGCCAGCGTGCCAAGCCTATGCACGTGAATTCCAGTTTTCTTTCAGACCTTTTAGTTTTCTCGAAGCCAGAGTCACACGATCAGACAGGAGCCGAGCAGTTTGCACTACGTTTGCTACGCCAGGAGACCATCTCTGTTGAGGACTTGCGCGCTTTGTGGGAGAAGCTTCCGCAGTCGCAGTCGGCCCGTGCAGAGGAGGATACCGGCTTTGGGGCTGGGGCCTATAGTCATGGCGGGGTTGCAGGTCTCCGACGGCCCACTAAGGACTTTCCTCTTGCCAGTGCATGTTTCGCGGCGTGGCTTCGACATGTTGCCCCAGGGGCCCCGTTCTCCAGTATCATGCTGCTGTGTAATGATGCCGCAGGTGTGCGCAAGGATATTCATAATGGACCCTTCGATTATGTCGTTGCTCCTCTCACCAATGTCACAGGTGAGGGGCTGGTTCTAGTCGGTTACACTGTCAGGTCATTGGAGGCCCTGAGTGCCGCCGATGCCGCATACCTGACTAGATTGGGGTTTAGGTTGCCTTCCCCGCCCGTCCCTGCCCTTGCCTGCCCTGTCCCTTGTCCCGCCAAAGACCCTACAGCAGTGCCGCCTCCTGGTGACCGTGCACCCTTGCGCAGCGTGCCTCCTGCGTGTTTATCAGCCGACTTGCCTTTGTTCCTTGAGCTTTGCTGCGGTTCTGCCACTCTTTCGGGTGTTGTGCAAGAGGCAGGTTTCAGTGTGTTGCCCATCGACTGGGGTCGCAATGTGCGCAAGCCTGCAGTTCACCCTTTGCAGCTTGACCTTCGTTCCCGTGCTTCCTGGGGTTTCGTCAAGGATTTAGTCAAGTGCCGCAAGACCTTTTGGGTGCACGTGGCACCACCCTGTGGCACTGCCAGCATGGCCCGTGGCATAGGACGAGGCCCTCGTCCGCTCAGATCGCCGCAACATGTTTGGGGCCTGCCTGGGCTGACGCCTGTTGAACTTGGGCGTGTCACCAGCGCCAACTCCATCTATGAAGAAACTGCGGCCTTCGTCGTTTGGATCCTCGACGATGCCCCTGATGTGCTTGTAACTGTGGAAAACCCTCTTCACAGTTTGATGTGGATGCTTCCCCCGTTTCAGTCTCTTCTGCAAAGATTGCATCTTGTGAGCTTTGATGCCTGTCGCCATGGCTCTACCAGAGCCAAAGCCACCGGTTTTCTGACCAATCATGATGCATTCAGCTCGCTCAGTGGCCCGTGCCCTGGTTGTGTTCAGCACGATGCATGGGGTCAGACGCCCGATGGCGCATGGAGCACCAAGTTGGAGGCTGCATACCCACGTCTCCTCTGCCAGCGTTTGCTGGCTTGTGCTGCACCTGTTGCTGCCGCCCGTGGCTTGCAACCTGACCGGGATGCTGTTAACCCACATGCCCTTGCACGCGCGGCTGCTGCTGTGCAACCTAGAGGACGCAAGTTTCCGCCGGTCATTTCCGAATTTGCCTACACAGTCACCGTGCGCTCGACTTCCGAGCCTCCCTTGAATGAGAAGTCCGCTGCTTGGATGAATGTTCCGCCCCATGCAAAACTTCTGCGCCGCGTGGTTGATAGGGGGTTGGATACTCAGCTTGCAGAAGGTGGTAGTGCTCTTGCACGTTCCTCAGAGGAGATCTCCCAAACAAGTGGCATCGCACGTTCCTCAAAGGAGCTCTCCCAAACAAGGGGCGGTGCACCTACGACAGCGTACACTTTCGGAGTATACCGCACGCCCATGCAGTTTCTTGCCGAAGCCAAGTTGATCACGCATCCCTTTGACTCTGCCAGGGCACTCCCCGACCCGATGCTCAGGGTCTTGTTCACGACGCTCACCAAAGGGCCATTGGAGATCATGAAAATTCGGCTTGCAAAACTGAAGCTTTGGAAGCAATGGGCGGCAGAACTGCAACCTGAAGAACGGGCTCTCAGGAGCAGCATGGCTCCTAGTGTTCGCAAGGTTTTGGGAAATAAGCGCATTGCATTGCTACGCAAAGTTGCCGAATCCCTAGAGTGGCCTGACACGAGCGTGTTCGGCGAGCTGACTGAGGGTTTCCGTCTGACGGGGTACATGCAGCGTACTGGTATCTTCACACTTGATGCCAACCGAGTCGGAGTTTTGGCTCGCTGCTCCGATTCGCAGAACCACGTTATGGGAGAAGGTTCAGTCGCAGCCAGAGCAGGACTACTCTGAGGCCATTTGGAGCCTGACGTTGGAGGAGGCGGACCAGGAAGGCAAGGCTTGGTTGGAAGGGCCATACGGTACGCGCGAGCTGGACGCCATGTTCGGGGGTGTTTGGTCCCCTTGCAGACGGTTTGGCGTCTGGCAAAATAAGTGGAGGGCCATTGACGACATGACCGAGTGCGGTGTCAACGCGTGCTTCGGTTGCTTTGAGCGCCTCTCTTTGCGGGCGCTTGATGAGTTGTGTTGGACTTGCCTGGCCCTCATGCGGGCGGCCAAAGCTAAAGGGCATGTGTGCTTTGTCCTCAGTACGGGTGAGCGATTGGAAGAACCTCTGCACAAGCTGTGGCATGATTGTGAGCGAGTTCGACCCGTGACCAAGACGTTTGACCTAAAAGCTGCTTATAAGCAGCTGCCGCTTCACCCAGAGGAGCGGACCAAATGTGTGATCACCATCAAGTCGCCGGAGGATGGAGCCGCTAAGGGTTTTGTTTGCAATACATTACCTTTTGGATCATCAGCTTCGGTGATGCACTTCAACAGGATCTCGCTGCTCTTGCAGCGAATCCTCTGGGAGGTTCAGGTGTTGGCTACTTGCTACTATGACGACTTTCCAGTTGCATCGCCGTGTTTCCTAGGGCAAGGCACCGACCAAGTGGTGCATGCGGTGATGGATCTTTTTGGCTTCGACCTTTCCCTTGACAAGGAAAAACCCTTTGGCACTGATACCGAGACGCTTGGTGTCATGGTAAACACCGCTGACCTTCTTCGTTTTGAAGTCGTCACCGTAGGGAACAAGCCGGACAGAGCAGCGGCGATGGTCAACAAGCTTGATGATGTTTTGGCAAAGGGCGCAGTTGTCACGCGTGAAGTTCCTTCAATGCTGGGACGGCTACAGTTCTCTGAGGCGCAACTGCTTGGGCGAGCTGGGAGATTGGCGCTGGCTGATTTGAGGGTGCTGGAGCAATGTGCAAGCCAGGAAGTCACTCTTAGTCAGACTCACGTCGATGCTCTTCTCATGCTTAAGCGGAGGCTTCTGGCGTCGGTCCCGAGGGCCATTCTTACTTCGGCGTGTTCGTCGCCGGTGTTGGTCTT